TAAATGAATGTAATGTATGTAATGTACTCTTCTACTTTTGTTTTACTGGGACAACAACCTCCTCAGGGACGACAGGTGTAAATTAGCACTGCTGCTATAACCTGCTACAATACATCTCTCCTTTTGGCTAATGTTGTTCTTGTAAAAAAATTAGATAATATCATACCATGCAAAAACTAGTGATACTAGCTTTTAATTACATCAATACTTGTTTTGTCGAGGGGTAAATTAGGTACCCCAGCTTTAACAAACGTCATATGCTGTACATGGTAAAGTATCAGGTAACTCTGATAACAGTTTATATTATACTGTATAAAGGTGGGGGCTACAAACCAAATATATTATTTTTTCACATAAAAAAATAAATAAATTAAACACAACACAATCCACCTTTGGAACAATCCACTTTATACATTTGTAACGACTCATTTAAATCCAACGAGCAAACTAAAACTAAAATAATATATATACTGGACATTGACCTTGAAGATGTCATTGCATATATCAGTCTTATCAAAATAAATTTTGTGTGTGTTTGTATAGGTATTGTGTAGGTAGTGTATATGTGTGTAGTATTTGTTTGTGGTAGAGACTCTGGCCACTGGTGTCCACTATCAGGTTTATTGCTTTACTGAGAACATTCGACAATATGGCATTCATCTCACTTATCATGGAGAGAAACAAAGTACAGTCCGATCTGTTGTGATGCGAGGCAGCCCTGGAAAGATATTTATTTTGAGAGCAACACTACTGTACCCTTTTCACCAGATTATATCCTCCAGTTTATAGGCTATACATCTTTGGCATTAGTGAGAAAGTCTTTTACCAAATTAAACTCCATGAAAAGATGTGGGCAAAAATAAGTTGTTTTATGCTTATTCTAAACAAGATGTGGACAGAACTGAAGGGAAAACATGTTATACATAAACATATATAATCCTTCATGGTTGAACATTTGAATATGGGATACCTAACTTTCAAATCAGAAACATTCAACTACTGTATGTAATAATTCTGTTGTCACTGAACTACATTCAAACTCTTTTTCGATTCGAGAACAAATACCAATTTTGATACCTCTGCACTCTCAGAATAATACTTTTATTATTTGTAATGCATACATACGACACATGCATTGGTATTTAGCCTCAGTCCAACAGAATCCAATCCAAGAGAAAAGTGAAAAGGAGAGGACCACCCTCTATCAGCTAATCAGTTCTTAGCCCAAAGTGTCAACTTGTGACTCAGAGGGCTCTTACAAGTAGGAAAAATGGTAAATGTGAACTAGTAAGATGAAGATGGTATGTTATGGTCTTGTTTGTTCGCAACATTTGACTTTTAAGACTCTTGAGTTAAAAAGGTCCCCAAGCTTTAAGCAAAGCAGTGCTCAGTACACTTTTGATAATCTTTGTTTTTCCAAGTAAGCAAGTAAGTAATGTTTGTTTGTATTGCGCATTTCACAGAGAGTCTCACAAAGAGAAATGCTTTTTGTCTCTACACACAGTGATGACAGAAGCAAAACCATCCCCATACATTCACTTAGATTCAGACCTATTGTTCACAGAAAGGCCCTGTCCGGAGATGGAATCAAACCCAGGACCTCCTTGCTGTGAATCACAAGCGCTAACCCCTGCCCCACCATGCTGCTCAAAGAAACCTTCAAACCTTCCCTGCCACTATTTACCAGCACGCATTCTAGTACACCTGCTGAGCATCCGTGTGGCAAAGACGTCAAACATCCAGGACGTGACCATAAACGGATGGACATAGATCAACTTGATCCATCGACAAATTCCACCATTTCAGCATTGCGCGAATCAAGAAACCGTCTCATTGTCGCCGACCGAATCGATAGAGATTTGACACAGCTCCGTGGAACACTCCTGTCCTTTCCAGACCATAACAGTCCCTCCTCCTGCTCTACTGTGCCGCTTGTATTCATCACAGTCAGACACCGGAGATGGGCCTTTAGCCATGCTCTGATGGAAAGGGCCCGATTATGATGCATGTCGATCAGCGCCGCAAATATTGACACGGAAATGCGTGCGGCGAGAACAACCTCTCGGCTCATAGCTCGCCACATAAAACTCACGGCATGGAGTGGCCGACATGAGGGGAGATAAGGCAGGTGACGGACGGCCCCAGCTCTTAAGGCTGTTCGCAGAGGAGGTCTCTGGGTGTCTGGGTAGATTTGTCGACGTCGTTGAGTGTAGGAGTTGTTCCAGATTCCAAAATGCTGGTTTTGAATTGAATTATTCATTTCAAACTTGTAATTTATTTTCTACATGTGTTCATAAACATAGATATAAGGGGTTGTAGGGGTAAACCTTCAGACTATAAGTGAACTATGGGTGTGTAGGTGGATGTAGATACAACAACTGTAATGTACTTGAAGGAAGCGTTAAAGGAGGGTGACCTGGATTTTAAAACACAAACAATTACAAGTATGAAATACAATTCACCCAACCTATTCCTCTGTCACTTCTCAAGATCAACTTTTTCAAACAGAAACGTTTGCAAAAGAGAAGATATTTTCTGATAAGTTGAAAATGGTCGTGGTCTGATTTGTTCACGCAATTTAACTTTTCCATACAACAAAAAGAGTCTTGTAAATATACTCATGAGTTTATTGACCTTGAGTTTTAATAATAGCATTATTATTCGTCTTTTCTTTTGACGTTGATAGCTAATAGCAATTTTTTATAGAATTTTAAACCTTTACATGAGCTGGTTAGAAACTGCAATAACAGCTAGGCCTCTTATATTTGGAAAAGACAGGAAATATTTAACTGTAAAAATCCCCCAAAAGCAGGGCGTTTTTTTGTTTTTTTGAGATTGTGTCAATGTTTACAGATATAGACATTTATATTTTTTTATCCATGTACTGAGGTGCTTTGTTGATCATGTTTTAGTTGGCCGATTATTATTCTGATGAATGCGTTATGGATTAGTTATAAATTCAATCTAAATACGTTATTTTGATTCCTAAACGTCAGTAAATATGGGAACATCCTCACAGAGATGACTGTTGTTCTTTGATTGAAAACTTCTTTCTAAACACATTTTAACTTCCTTATGCAGTCGATATAGAATGATCTCAAACCTCTTCTTAGCTGATGTTAGACTTAGATGTTAAAGTCTACGGAAGGTTAAAAAACAATGAATCTATTTCTAAATTTATAAAATTCATTGACAACTTTTACAATAATCGATGAGTTGTTATTTACTTGTTGCAGCCCCACTGTTAAAATGGAAAATATAAGTAGAAAAGTAGTCTAGAAACTTTTGCTTTTGTTCCGCATTGTAAATACAGTATATGTGTGTGTACAATACCACAGATTTGCTTATTCAATGCCCACGAATATAAACAAGTGTAACTGTACTGATTTGTGACGAATTGAGTCACTTCGCACCTGCAGCCATTCGGTCTCACCTCCTAATCCTTGCGCACACTTCTATAGCTCCTAATCCAATTGAAGTTTGTAACACAACATACCTCACACGCTTGTACATTTAAGAGGCCCACGGGAAGTTGTCCAGAACAAACCATCCCGATCAATTGTTTCTTATTAGCCCAGCCGAGTGAAACCTGGCTTCCTCCGGTGCGCCGATATGTGCGTACTGTATGTGTGCGGACGTGTGCGTTTGTGTGTGTGCGCTGATTGGACAACGCTGTTTATTTACTTAAGGCTGCGAGAAGAGGCCATTTCCCCCGCCGCCACGCTGTTCTAATAGTGCGTCTTAACCACCTCGCTGGCTCCTGTCCGCACCTCTGCACCCAGCGTGTCCCTAGGAAACAATCATGATGAAACAGTGTTTGCCGGCGCGCTCACCAAACTGTTCTGTCAGAGGACGCAGGCAGAAGAGAAGTGGGGGTGGTGGGGGTGGGGGGGGCTAATGACAGGTGCGTGTGTAAAGTCCTCATCCTACACGGACCGCTAGGGGAACTGCCAGGTAGCCCGCTCAGCCGTGACTTTACAACTAATCCTGTTTGTAAGTTATTATTTATCTTGGGCAAACTTTGTCAAACTCAGGCTTTGATTTCTCCCCTTGAGTTCCCTCTCGTGGCCCGCTCCCGCACATGCTCCCCACATAATTTATGACTGCCTCTGGTCCTGATGACAGATTATTAAAAGTAGAATTAGTTTTTTGCTGGGGATTTTTCCTTTGGGAATTGGGAAGGCTGGGCTCTCAGAGGAAGGTCTCTGACGAGGTCTCCATTACTAATAGAAGCAGGTTTTTTTCCCTTTCCCCGTGTGATGGCGAGGCGAGAAGACTAATGATTTGAATTTACTGTGGCAGTTGTCACGTGGTGTGGAAGCCGGCGTGGAGGAGAGGTTAACTTCTTCCCTGTGGAGAGGTTTATTGGATTGTTTAGCAGCAGAAGGATAATGTTTTTGTCATCGACTGCTGCTGCCAGTGCTGGAAGAGCCAGTGCTACTGTGTGCAGTGTGAGTGGAGACAGGCACATGTACAGTATCTCCTCTGAGCACAAGATAAGAGCCCAGCTTTCTCTTATGACGTGACTGGCCCTGATAAAAGGCGAGGACAGAGCTGCAGATATTGGCCTCACGCTCGGATACAAACTTGTGTTGGAGTGAAGTTGGTGCCAGCTCCTTATCAGCAGTAGCTCAGTGCAGCTCAGGCTGTTTGCTGACACACAAAGAGCTGCAGCTTTCACCTGATGGCCGTTTGGAGCCTGTTCCCCAGCGTGTGTCTGCAGCCTGGGAAGCAGAGGGGAGTCTCAGCACAGCTGAGAGGCTCGGCTTAATCTTATGCATCATTAAGCACTCAGCGGCACGCCGCAGCTCCTCATATACATCATCCACGCTTAATAAACATAATGATGACATAAGATGTAATTCCAGATGAATTTTCATTTTATAGGGAAATGGAGAATTCCTGTAGAAAGGAGGGGAGAAAGAAAAGAGCTACGAAAGAGGAGAGAAAAAGTAAATTATCGGGGAAGTACAGAATAAATGATGTTTTTGCTCTCCAAGATGGATTGTGGGGTTGTGAGGGCAGCAGAAGTGGGAGAGTGTGAGGAGGGGGGCCTGGAAGGTGAGGGCCAAGGGGCCGCACTTGTGCTGGCCCCTGAGTGGAGGGGGGCACGGGGGACAGGGGCTTTGAGGGAGACGCAGAGAAAAATGTTGGTCATTCCAAGTGTTTTAATCGCGGCGCTTGATGGACAGGCTGAGAGGACCTAAGGTGCGGCCATCCATCATAGAACGGCCAGAAAGGAGCAGAGAGGCTGGAGTTTCAGAGGGGGCTGGCAGGCAGCGGGGAAATGGGATTCTGATGAAAGTGTGAGAGAAAGACAGCACTACACAACAGGCCAATGAGGCCAAGAGGGCAGATTAGCAGCTCCGTCTACACAGTGTTCATCCTAATAACCCGCCATGTTTCGCCTCAACTCAAACAGGACCTCTATATTGTCACATTTCTGCTACCCAGAAACCAGATCAAATTCTAGTTTAATAACTGTAATTGAAAACCCTTTTGTCTGTTTGTCTGCACATAATGATCTGAAGTCAATGTTCGAAGCGCGACTAAGTATATAATGTTTGCAGTGTTTTGAACAGCAGTCGTGTTGAAAATGGCTTGGTAGACTGTCCGGCCCAGTGCCCGCTCTCTGAACCCAGGCCTCGGACCACTGCTCCGGCTGACGCGATGGTCCAGACAGACACCCACCCACCACACGCAGCGGCAGCAGTCAGCCTGAACCAGTCCAAAGAGGCTCGGAGGGATGATGCTAACATGCACAGCAACTTATCATGTCATGTAGAACTCCTATCAGCTGGGGTGTGATAAAACCTTCAAAACCGCAAATCAGTAAACGCGAATAGTGCACTTTGTCAGCCATAGATTTCTCTGGTAATTTTAGAATGGCTATAATTGGGAAAATAGCAAAACGTCAGAAAGCTAGTAAAGGTCATGCAATGAGTTATGTATTATTCTCCCATCGCAACTAGAGGCATATACCCTTGAGTGTTACAAACATGTCCATGAAGCTCAAATTATTTTCAAGAAATAGAAAATTCAACTGATATATGTATATATATATATATATATATATATAATCATGATGTCTAAGAATGCCCAGCCTCATGGGAAGTTAAGACCATTAACACAAATGAAAACGTATTGTACACAAACACATCTATAATGTTGGGACAGCAACAGAACACATCTCGTTCATGGGTGGATATTTCATAGGACAAAGGGATTCTAAAGTCATCCTAAAAATGCACTTCACTTTCTCCTTCCTACACTTCACAGAGAGCACATTCATCAGGGGTTTGTGAGGAACTTCCAGGTTCTATGGCAGAATATTGTATTTCTTTTTTCAGCTATCTTTGAGTCTCGAGAGATTTGCTGTGGTCTTTTTTTGAATGTTTGGTCCTGTGAACCAAAAATTCCTCTGTGTTGAAGCCATGTATAAAGATAGGTTTAGGAACTTGCATTAGGGTCTCCATGTTGTATGGGGTAATGCAAAAAAACTAAAACAACAAACAACATATACATACAAACATGACTAGTATGGACACATACATCACAATCAGAAGAACATGAAAGCAAAAACAACTGACATTTGCAGGAGCCTTGGTCTTAAATGTGTCTCCAAAAGAAAGCATTTTTTTATCATTTTAATTTCTTAAGCATTTATTAATCTTCATCAACTCTTAATCTTAGTCTTAATCTTTTTGTGCAGTATATTGTTTATAATCTCCAACAATATAGAATAAAACAAAGTTCAATGGAGAAAGTCCTGTATGGCTTTAAACATTGCCAGTGCGTTGGCCAGAATTAACAAAGTAAAATAATGGTGGTTTTACAGATTAATTGAATGTTAAATAAATAAAATAAAAATGTATAAATTGCATTTTGATTACAAACAAAATCCTGATATGACAAAAAACACATTCTTGCTACGAGCTTCGATTGGAACAAAGGAGCCGTCTAATCATAGCGCAATAGTAACTAATAGTAAATTCACTCTTTAAATTTAAATTATCCCCATGCACTTCTTAGCAGTTGGAGACGGAGAAACTATTTAGCTTCTGCCAGTGCATCCAGCTCAGTCTGGTGGGACGAGCAGCATCCCATGTAGGCTTCCAGCTGGACCCCTTCCCAGACTGCCATGCCTGGTTAATGTGGCCATTCTGTGCTGCCAAAATTAGAATTCATGGTTTACATTAAACAAACAAACAAGAAAACACGCAAAACAACAACGCTGCGTTGACCTTGCCCTAACTGAATTTGCCCCAACCAATTCTCCAAAATATACGCTGACTGTTTATGGACTTTGAACATCATGTCCACTTATTTCAGGGTGTAAATCTCATGTTGAAGAGCGTATGTTGTTGTGTGACAGTGTGAATAGTAGGAATATGATCTAGTTGGGTGCATTGGAGAATCTGGTTTGATACAAATTCAATAGAAGATTTCCTGTTTTTTTGATTCACATTTATTTTTTGACTCAATAAATGACTTTTCCCTCTATAAAGGAGACATTTATCATTTTTGTTCAGTTTTAAAAGAGACGGTTTCATTTTAAACTACATTTATATCCCTTATGTGTCCTCAGAACATGTAAACATACAATCCCCACTGAAGAATAACATAACACTAACTGTGCCTGCATCCATTTTTACATTTACACAAATAGGTATTGACAAATTGCACAACGTAATCCAACATGCTAATTCACCCTTGCTCTTACAAGAATGCAAAACATGTATCCTAAAAAGACAAAGACAACATGGGGTGGTCTGATTTGTTCACAGAATTATACGTTTACAAGGTTTTCTGTTGGGACAAACACCATGTATTATTAATGACATACAAGTGAGGCACCCCCACTTTAAATGTTTTGACAAAACAGGATTTCACCAACATGCAAGAATCAATTATAACATAACTTTGGCTGAGCTAACATTCCAATCAATCAAAGGGTTTATTTCGAAAACTTTACAAACAAAATAATAGATATTGTTTTGAAACAGTGTTAGATGAAGTGGACACTTATACTTCCAAACCCCTTGACAAGTGACCACGACAGGTAGTAAAATGGAGATGAGATCTGTTAAAGTTAAGCAGGGAAGTTCTTGGTTAGTGCTGTGATGGGAGACCTCTGGGAACACCAGGTGCCACAGTGGGGCAACTGCGGCCGTAAAGCTTCCAAACTGTTGTGGTGCTCTCAGGCAAGACACTCCACCCACAATGCCTAGTAAGACTGATGTGTGTGAATTAAAGAAGCTATACCTGATTTATTTTCTAATGAGGTGACAGTGGCTCAGTTGGTAGAGCATTGGCCTTAGAGCCTGAAGGTCGTGGGTTCGTGTCCACCATAAGACCTACTTCACGACTGATGATTGCTGTCGTTGTGTCCTTGGGCAAGACACTTACGACCCCACTTTGCCTGAAGCCCCCATTGGAAGATCTCAGTTCCTGTGGGCTCACCACCTGCAGGAGGATCAGTGAGGGGCTGGTGCTCTGTGTACTGGGTGCAGCTCTAACTGCCACCCTCCGACTCAGAAATGGATTGAGGGGAAGAAAATGGATGGATGGAGTTCATAATGAGTTGTACTACATACAAGTTGTATTATTACCGTATTTTAATTGAAAACTTGAGCTCATGAATTCACGGCGTAAAAAGTTCTGAGAAGAAACTTAGCGTGACGCTAGCTCTCTTCCACTCACAGATCGAGAAGCGACGCTGTTATGGACAGGCCACGCCTCCACTAGACCACGCCTCCACTAGGCCACGCCTTCTCTAGCGTCTACAGTGCAGGTAAACACACCAGCATGGAGGCAGAAAGTTACTATTCTTCCTCTGGCTGTAACTGCAGACACAGCAAAACAGCCCAAACAATGCAGCAGTGAGGAAGAGAAGAGGGAATTAAAGCAAAAAAATTATCAAAGAAGAAATCAAGGCCGGGTGAACATAGCTAGCTTACATTGTATCCTCGCCGGAGAGACCTGCGGGAGCGGGACTGCCTCAGACTATATTTGGACAGGAAACTAGCAGTAATCTTTCAGTTATATATTTTGTCAGCAGTGCGCTGCTTTTGTACCATTTAACTCATTGACTGCCAGCCCATTTCAGAACAGGTACTTCCATATTGCCAGCCGTTTCTGATGGTTTTTTACTGATTTTTAAAGACCCACAGAATATTGTGTACTATGACTATCTGAAATCCGACACCAGATTCTAAAAGAATGGACTGTCTATCAGCAAAAAGAATTTTGTTTCTAGCTTGTTTCGTTCCCCTGTAATCCTCCGTTGAGTAGAGGGAAGTTTTACTGAAGCACAATGTGTCTATCCAATTGTCTGTGAAACTGTATGTTACTGCTCTCTGCTGTTTATTCTACTGTTTGTCGCATGGCGCCGTAAAGATGGCGCCGTGGCAAGAGCTCTGGTGTGTGTCATCTTCTCTGTCTGGTGCACACCGGGGTAGTCTTGCACAGTTTTTCCTATGTGGTTTTACTGTAAATGGCAAATAAATGAATCTGAATCTGAATCTGAAATCACCAGAAAGTTGAGAAAAAAGAGGCACAACATGTGCACCTAACTGTTTTCAAACCATTCAGAGAGCAATGCTGCCACCTGCTGGCTCGATAAAATATGGTCTCCAGCCATCCCCATACATATTAGATACAATAGACATTTGGGAACGTGAAAATAGCGGGAAAGGCAATTGACGTATTTGTGCGTCAATGGCACACATCAGTGATTGTTGTACAGCTTACAAGAAGTTGTACAAATGCTAATGTTTGCATACGTATCGCAAATATAACTAGATGGCTTCGTGGGAGGAGAGCGTTGGGGAAATGAGAAGCCTGTGAGCGAGTTGGGGGGCGGTGCTAAACATTCAAACTGAAAAACCTTTCAGAAACGGGTACAGCTCCTTTAAGGATGGTGATTGGAGGGGCAGATGGTGTCTGTCTGTCTGCCCCAGGGCAGTGGTGGCTACTGAGGTGGCTTGTCCCCCTGTGTATAGAGTGAATGGACATTGCCATGTGAAGCATCTAAAAAAAAGCATGTCCAAAAAATCTATACAAATTAGAAATATATTACCTTGAGAGTCTTGACATGCAAAGTCCATTTGACATAAGACGTCCCCTTTAAACCATGGGCAGAATATCCCGTTGTGATGTCACGTGAGCGCAGCCTATGGGGGACGTTAGCATCCCACTCCTCTGGTGGCCTGCCTCGCACAAAGGCATTTTCTGGATTCCAAACCTCAGCATGTTCGGGCCCGCTGGAGCATGCCCAGCAGTGTGCCAAGGTTAGATGGGTGCCCAGGGTGCCGCTAAGCAGAAGCCCATACCCCAGCTCCGTCCATTAATGCCCAACACAAACTGCGCCCACATAAAACAAAGTGCTGGAAAGGCGGTGCGGACTCCAGGAAGTGCTGTGAACATGTCAGGGATGTTTATAGCTTGGAATTACCTTTTCAGAATGCGGGGGAAAACTCCTGATGTGCCGGTGATAAAGTGGGCCAGATTGAGGTGCTTACAGCCTTACGTGACCTCGTAGACTGCAGTTGTAATGTCAGGGATTTGGCAAAAAATGACGAAATATTCAAATGTGTGTTAAAACTTTTATTGCGTATTGTCGATGACTTGTTTTTTTGGCGTTGGTGCAGTCTGACATTACCATACTACCGTATAACCCTGGTCCAGAGGAGGCAACCAGGCTATTCTTCTCAGACTTTGGCTGGGTTCTGTCTTGGGTGACCCTGCAAATTCCCATGACGATTGTAAAGTGCTGTGTGAAGTAAAGATTACTTCAACACACATGG